GTCGCTTCGGCGCCGCGGCGATGGCCGACGCGACGCCGGAGAGCAGCGTCGTCGCCTTATTCGTCCACGACACGAACCAGCTCTACCTGCGCAAGCTGCTGGGCCTCCAGTGGATCGCCCGGGGCTGGCAGGGCAACGCGGCGTCGACGGGCGGCGCGCTGTCCTTCGAGCTCCACTGCGCGGGGACCCAGGGGGCGGCGGACCGGCGGTGCTTCGTGAAGACGCGCTACACCGTCGCGTCCCCGCGCCAGCAGCGCGAGGCCACCGTGCTCGACGCGACGACGCCGCCCTCGGAGGCCGTGCTCGTGCTCCCGGGCTGCGGCGTCGAGCTCTGCCCCCTCGCGGCGTTTGTCGGCGTCGTTTTAGACGCGGTCTGCTTCGACTGCGTCGGCGACCCCGTGCGGACCGTGCTGGGCCGCCTCGCGGACCACGCGGCGGAGCCGCCCGCGGAGGAGGCCTGCGACGCGGCGCCGGCGTGGCAGCAGGCGCTGAGCCTGCTGGGGGCCGCGGCCTTCGGCGCGAGTCTCGCGCTCTTCGTCGCCTGGTGCCTCCGCGTGCGCCGCCACCGGCGCGCGCGCCAGGCGCCGAGCCTCCTCGGCGCGTCGCGCCAGGCGCCCGCGGGCGAGCGCCTCACCCTCGTCGAGAGCGGGACGGTGCTGTAATGCTCTCAAGGCGATGCTCAACTTAGCACGTGCCGAGGTCGCACGCGGGGTTGTAGACGTCGCCGAGCGTCGCGTCGCCGAGCGTCGCGTTCGCGCAGGCCTTGGGCGCCGTCGTGTAGGGCCCGCCGTACTGGATGCCCCAGCCCGTCGGGTCGACGACGTAGTGGAGGATCAAACCCCGGGGCCCCGAGGGCCGCGGGTTGGCCTCGCAGGCGTAGAGCGCGTCCGGCGCGGCGTCCGCGTACGCGACGACCGCGTCGCCGACGGCCGCGTCGCCGTGGGACGGGTTGTCGTAGGCGAAGTGGAAGTCGAGCCACTTGTCGCGGCCGCACTTGGGCTTGTTCCGCAGGTTCGCGTCGTGGCCCGCGCGGACGCCCTTCTCCAAGTCGGCGACGGAGAGCGGCGCTTTCGCGTCGTCGGCGTGGGCCGAGTAGCACACGTCGACCGTCGACGCGTTCTCGAACTTGTAGCAGTGGCGCGTCGCCGTCTCGACGACGCGCGCCGCCGACGGGAACGCCGCCGCGTAGAAGGCGTCGACGGCGGCGAGCGACGTCGTCGCGCGGCCGACGCGGATAGGATAGAGGTAGCCCGGGCTCGCGGCCGCGGCCGGCGGCGCGCCGAGCCGCGGCGCGGCCGCGGCCGCGACGTCCAAGCCCGCGGCGGCCGTGAAGTTGCTCGAGATGGCCGAGCCGCGGCCGGCCGCGGCCGCGACGTCCAAGCCCGCGGCGGCCGTGAAGTTGCTCGAGATGAGCTCGACGACCATGGCCGAGCCCGGCACGAGGAAGACGGCCGAGTACCACGTCTTCCCGGCCAGCGGCCAGCTCATGAGCAGGTAATTTTCTCCGTCGCGGTCGAAGGCGTCCGTGTAGGCGCGGAGGTTCGTCGTATACAAGCCGACGTTAAAGTCCATGAAGGCGTCGAAGGCGCTCAGATTGCCGAGGCGCGCGGCGAACGCGGCCTCGACGGAGCCGAGGCTCAGGGCGGGGCCCGTCTCGCGCGCGGAGACGTTGACGAGGTGGAGCCCGAAGCCGCGGCTGATGCCTAAATTCGTCGTCTCGAGCTTCAGCGCGACGCGGCCCTGCTCGATGTCCCAGGGGTTGTTGTTCGGTCGCA